CCATCTTCAGTAGACATGCCATACCAGTCAAATATACCTTTTGCAAATCCAGGAAAATAACGACTGAGTTCACTTTTAACTATGCCTGGATGGTTGCAATTGGCATAGACCTTATATGAAGAGAGTGTTAATAGATTAATATAGAGAAGAAGAAATAGCTCACCTTAACACTCTTCTCTTTCAATCGCTTGCTTAGTTCTCTGGTGAATAATACATTACATATCTTGGATTTAGCATAATGGGATACTCTATTGTACTTGGCAGGATCATTGATGGTCTCCAGATGCAAGCTACCCATATGAAGGAGAATTGCCATTGAACTCACTGTGACAATACGGCTGGGTGCAGTTGCTTCAAGTACAGGCAACAGTAACATGGTCAAATAATGATGGGCTACATGATTGGTTGCAAACTGACTTTCAAGGCCTAATATAGATGAAGTGTGTTAAGGGTCTTGAGAGGACAATGGCATACTTCAGAATAATATGTGCCTACCATCTTTTGATAGGGAGTAGGCAGGGATCATGATACCGGCATTATTCATTAATATGTGTAATTGAGAGTGCTTTTCTTTGAATTCTTTGGCAAATCGAGTGACTGAATCCAAGGATAAGAGATCAAGCTCCATAAAGTGGACATTGGGGTTGCCTGTTTCTTTCTTGATTTCTTCTACTGTAGGTTCTGCTTTATCCTTATTACGACAAGCAAGAATACTGTATGAATGCTATTAGATAATGATTATATACAGTGTATATTCTACCTACATGGCACATCCCTTTCTGGCCATTTCCAGGGCACATATTCTGCCAATCTATGTACAAAATGTGTTAATATGTATATAGTGCTTCTATACCTAATACATACACCTGTATTGCTGCCTGTAATAACAGCCAGTTTTCCTGAAAGATCAGGAATCTTATCAAAAGAGTAATGCCTTGTATTGCCAAACATGAGATGAATATGATGAAAGAACCGAACAACAGGGATGTTTACTGTTATTATATAATAAATTAATTAGATGACCGTGTTACGCTATCTTAATATCGATTCTCTAGACAATGTGCTCCGACACAGCGTGCCCCCTAGAGATTTATAAGAGTACTGCTTATAGGAATATTCATAAATAACTCACATGCAGTGAAGAATTGTCTGCATCACTTTATGCAGTTCAGATATTACCCTATTAAGTATAGAATGTGGCTTCTAATTGCTGCCTAAACACAAAGAACCATGCATCCACATTAGGCCAGCAATCATCCTAAAATGGTTGATCAAGTAATCGCTTATGGAAGAAAGTGTCCACTAGTTGTTGTGGTCGTTTCTCATAATAAACATCAAGCATATGATGTTTGCAGATTGGTGTATCTATTTAACAATTACATGCGCATGGGTAGGCGGAGAAGATATTGGTAGTTACGCACATAAAGAGTGTATCATCACCAGTGACTAAGCAAGCCTTCCTTTTTCTGCGCATACTCACACACTCACACACATCTTCTGACATGAGCTATCTAACTGAATATACTCAATATCCCTACATATACATATACATATACATACATATATATATATTTCTTAACTCTCCTATACACTCTACATTATACACACCTATTCGAATGACTAGTATTACAGATGGTATTATTTTATTATCAATATAGCTGTATTTATGTGCTATTGTATACAACTCTGGGAGGTTCTTCAGTGGCTATTTGGTTATATTGAGAATGATCTTCTACACGTTGGAAGTTGTCATTGTATTTGTGCACAATATAGAATCCATGAATAATACCAGGAATAGCACCCAGGGCACAGAGACATAAGTTTATTAATAGGTCCACACCACAGCCAGTCTTTATGCCTACTGATATAAAGGGGAAGAAGATTGCAATAATGAAGAGAGCGATGTCATTACCAGAATAAGCAGCCATTAGAGTGAATTAGGAGATGATAAGAGAGAAATAAACAATGATGAATGCCCCCTCCAATAATTTATTGATTCGTGTTACTATAAATGACCATCTCCATGACAATAGATACGTCATATCCACCTTCATATTCAACCCGCCATTTTACAACATAACCAATAACAGTGGATGTTCTCCAATAGATGGTAAATAGCCAGATAGAGTAAAATGAGGTACATACTCTCAAAGGAGTATAAACAAGTTGTTCTATATTAGAATAGAATATATAGAGTAATAGATGCTTATGTAATCCAGTATCTATGTTACCCTTACCTTGTTCGAAAAAGACACCCATTTCAAAAGAGTCGTCTTCTCAACAAAAGCATTCATCTATTATTATGCGATAACCCGTCTATAAACACTTAAACTAATCCAAGAGAAATCTATATACATCAATCACTTAATGCCTCCTTGGTGGGTAGTGAGAGATTTGGGTGATGAAAGAGTAGAATAGATCTTTATATGTTTTTAACAAATGACCGGCAGAACATTATCTAGCACTAGACTCTACATATTATCCTGTTTATGTTAAGTTAACATTACATCAATCAAAATTCATGTTCATTCATGAGTCAGAATGAGAGGAAATTGACTGAAAGGTCAGAACTACATGATCATGATGCTTCACTTTGTTTGTTATTGGGTGATCTACGTATATTTATGCTTGGAGGTGATGTGATAATGTTCAAATTGGCAGTTGTATGGACATTTTTATTTCAAGTATATATACTTTTTTGCAGGATTTAATTATTCATGATTTATGTCCTGAAGTTCATGCTTGGAGTTGGACAACAGGTATATTATAGGACCCATCCATTTTAGTTTTTACCGTCATTCTTTTCACCGCAATAAAATAGAAAAAAAAGCAATGTCATGTCACTTAATATACACTCATTACAAAACATCAACACAGCATGAAGAAGTACAACACACATAATAGAGACAATATAGAAAGTACGTGTAGTAAATAGCACTATACTATAATAATTACTGTATTGCGAGCAATGGTCAACGAAATAAAGTTAATTTTTACTAGGAAAAATTAACATAATTCCGCTGTACTTAACTTAAGTGTTACTCTATAACGATAATTTTATCATTGAGTTACCCTCAATTACATTAACCATTGACCATTCTTGGGTAATTCTACTGCTACAGAATTAACATTTTCCTGATAACTGTTGACGATATTACAGTAACTATTGAGTGCCGATGTTAACATCAATCGATAATCGTTGTATGAAAACCATACAATTTCTTAGTGACACTATTACCGTTAAGGATTATGGGAAGTGTTAATAGGCTCATATTAACCTATCATTGTCTCTTATAATGATTAACATCAGATTAACATCAGATTAACATCAAAAGATTGTAGGTCATTCTCATTTACTTCTAAAACTAAAAGTTTGACAGTGGTACCAACACAAGCAACCTAACTGAAAAAGTTGCCGTGAATGAATATGTCAACTTCTAAAGTTGTATTATGCAAAGTTGATCTTGAATCATTAAGCTCTCTCTCATTTATACAGTGTCCTTTGGGTGAACCTGGTTGCCACCAGTTGTCCATCAATTTCAGAAATCATTGACTGGGACAATCCCATTAACAGTTCTCCCAGTTCTCCCATCGACCAATAAACAACTAAACCATTAACAAAACATTGGTCAAATATTATAACAGATTACTCCCTGGCTCTGCTCGCCAAATCACTAATCCTGAAATCTTAGATGCTTGGTTGAACAATAGGATCTTCTCCTCTAGTTACAGCAGAAACTATGCCAGCCAGCACCGTAGAGACAATCACTACATTATGTTTGGCACTCCTGCTATAAAGCAAGTAATTTTATCCTCGTATTCTTATCAATAGTAATTGAAATATCAAAAAACTGCATTGGTTTGTTGGTTCAAATGTTTTCCTTTTTACACACACACATAAGAACATCGACTGACACCTTGCCCTCATCGAATGCTCGATGCAGAATACAACCTATCCCTTCAAAGAAAACATCCCTGTAGTCAAGCTTCGTATACAATAATTGGCATCGAACAAATAACAGCTTAAAATGGCCTAATAAAAACAATAGAGAATATTAATACAAGTGAGAATAACCACTATTTACTGCATTTACTTTCTATATTGTTTCTATTGTGTGCGTCTTCATGCTGATTCATATATTGTAATGTGTGTATATTAAGTGTAATGACATGACATTCCTTTCTCTATTTTATAATGGTGAAAGAATGAAGATAAAAATAAGAAGGGATGGGTGCCATCCGAAATATATAATACACCTGTTTTCAATCCCAGAATATTAACTTCGGGACATAAATCATTAACAGACACCCGATAATTAAATCCTGCTAAAAAAATAGATAAAAATAATCGAAATAAAAATGTCCATAGCACTAGCAATTTCAACATTAACAAAGCAAGTGCAAGCATAAATATATTTAGAATAAGTACATCTATTATCCAATACCAAAAAGAGTGAAACACCATGTAGTTTTGACCTTTCATTCAATTCCTCTAATTCTGACTCATATTTTTAATGATTATGATTCGCTGGAATAATTTGACTGATGCTATAATGTTAACTATTAACATAAACCGATAATATTTATAGTATAGTAATAGGCGACATTATAACCTGATAATGTTACCTTTTTGTCTTGTAGGTGTTATAAGTTTAAGTAGTTACAATGATTTTTAAGATGGGTAAAAGAATGATGTTTATTTGATACATGATGATGGCCATTTATATGTTTTTACAATTGACTATAACTAATGTTGAATAATAATATATGACAACTTCTTATTAATAGATATAAATTAACGTATATAAAGATAATTAATAATTATCCATAGACTTGATGTTTCATAATAATTCAAGTGCTGTATGATTGCTAATTGTTCATGTGTCCTGATTGATAATTATCCATTATATCATATCTCATTAAGCAATGATTTGTGTGACATAATCATTTTTATCGGAGCTCAAAAACAGGCGACAATACGAAAACTTTCAAAAATAAACCGTCACCTGCAGGATTCGAACCTGCGCGCCCAAAGGGCAATAGCTTAGCAGGCTACCGTATTAACCACTCTACCAAAGTGACATTTATATTTTTGTAAATCAGGTATCTGATCACCAGACAGATAGTAAACCGGGGATACACCCAAAGAGAGTACTAATTTACTTAGTAGTAAAACTAAGAGAGAAATAGTTGTTAAGTTGATAAAGAATAATGTTTATTGAATAATAATTGTGGTATATTTATATGTTTTCTGAGATATTAAGTCAACTGGATAAAATAGGATTGTGCTATGGGAATTTAACTAAATATAAGATAATACAAATTATATAATGCTGAGCAATGACAATGTGATGCATCATGACTGCTGAGACTACTGATGGGAACAATGTATTGTATAAAAGACTATGAACATGTTGATAAGGCTTATGAATTGATCATTAGACAATGGGAGTTTTAGCAATGGTGATTATGGTATCGACAGGCGTGTTGGAATATACAATTCAGCTTGGGACGTGATCTCTTCTGATTGATTGGTTTTGTAGGTGTAAACTTCCTTTTATATTTCTTGGGGCGTTCATAGTATTGTGACACTAATTCCATATCCGATGGCTGTGTACTTGGGACACTGACATTACCCCCCTTCAAGCTTTGTGTTCGACCCTGAACACTGATAGAGGTATTGGAAACAGGAGAAACAACAACAGGAGGCATAGAGACATTAGGGGACATAGACGAAGCAGAAGATAAACCAGGCATAGAAGAAGAGGACATGACAGTAGGTATAGAAGACGATGATAGCATAGGGGACTTGACATAACTTGTAGCATCTTTGAAAATTACCGGAGGCACAATAGGAGGTATATCAGAAGTTGACTTGGGAATAGGATTAACATTAGACTTGATATTGGAAGAGACTGTGGAGGACTTGACATTTGGAGGAACATTGGAGGACTTGACACTTGGAGACACAGAGAGTGGCTTGGCTTGAGGCACAGCAGGAGCAGATGAAGTCATCGGGCTAGAAAGGTTATTGTTGGCGGTGGAGACTGAAGAGCTGGGTACAGGACGATCGGATTCACCAGGAGGATCAATGGTATCAATGTCCGAAGCAGGAGGGAGCGTCACGTGATAGGACTTGTATACATTATCTTTATTATTATTATTATTGACTTGACTAGGGGAACTTTCTTCAGCATTTAACATATCACTACGCCATTCACGACGAGACACAACAGGATCATACCAGGGTTCGAGAGGAGGTTCACCAAAAGCAGGCATCAGACGATCGACATGAACTAAGGATTTCAAGGGTTCACCAGCTAAAGTATGTAAGCGATAAGTACCAAAATCAGGGTATACCTTTACCACCATGAAGGGACCTTTGAAGCGGGGCTCGAGACTATAACGACCTTCATGAGTTAGATTGACCATATCACCAATTTCAAAAGAACGTTTCTTCACTACTGCATCCCACCTTTCCTTGTCTTTTTCACCCATAGCTTTGAGACGGAATTCAGCGGCAGCACGATGTTGTTGTAGTTCAGTAAGTTCTCTAGAAGTAATATCGGCAACAGTTCGAGGATCATTAAAGGTATCTTTGTCTATATAAGGGCGGAGAGTATCACCAGGCAATCTTGGCTCACGACCATAGGTTAAGTAGAAGGGGCTAAATCCTGTAGTTGTATGTACACGAATTCGGGCAGACCAGAGAGCAGCATTCACGAAATCATCCCACCGATGAAGAGCACCATTAGTATACTTTCTGAGCATATCTTTGAGGACACCATTAAAACGTTCAACTTTGGCATTGGTTCTAGGGTGGTAGGCCGAGGTTAATTTATGATTAGTACCAACACGTTTAACATATGCTTTAAGTAGTTCACTGGTAAAATTGGCACCACGATCAGTGAGGATCTCAGACGGACAACCAAAACGCATCATTATCTCTTCATAGATAAAATCGGCAACTGCTTCTTTGGAAGCTACAGGAACAGCACGAGCAATTGGCCAGTTTGTCGCATAATCAACACCAACAATCAACCACCGATTACCATTCAGAGTAGTAGGCAGTTCACCTATGAAATCTAAGTGCCATCTGTCAAATGCAGTAGGAATCTTGAGTGGATGCATAAAATCATGATGGGCATTACCACGACGACGATTTAACTGGCAAGGAGGACAAGTAAGTAACCATTGACGCAGATCTTTACGGAGAGTGGGCCACCAGAATCGAGGAGTTAGCATATTTAACATGTTTTTAAAGTTAGCATGACCAAATGAATTATGATACTTAGAAACTGTATCTGCACGGGACGCCAAAGGGAGAAAAGGGACGAACTTGATAACACCGGGATCGCCAATAGACACCTTTCGAAGTACATTGTTACCATCAATACGGAAATTCTTTTCTTCTTGCTCTAAGTGTTCCTTCAAGGCAATATTAGTTATTTTATTAATTTTATCTTTACCCATGAGTAGAAGTAGCGGCCATTCAGCTTCAACATCTTGAGAGACAAACTTCTTGGTAGGAACGTTCATAGGGGACAAGGCAGTGGCATATAGGTAGGACGGCTCCAACGATTCAACTTTACTGGATGGGGCATAAGGATCTTCAATTCTTGACAATATATCAGGTACACTATTTTCTTTTCCGGGCTTATATTGGATATCTGGAGCATAGGATTCTAGTTCGGTAATCCAACGGACGAGTCTTGGAGTGGGCTTTTCTTGGGCACGGAAATACTTCAATGGGAGATGATCTGAGTACACTGTGTATCCACCAACACAACCATCAACAAAGCAGCGCCAAGTACGGAGAGCATGTACAATTCCTAGGAGTTCCCGCTCTTGTGCCGGGTAGTTCTTCTCAGCAGTAGACAGTTTCTTTGATTCATAAGCTATTGGATGCCATTGACTATTGACATCATCACCGGGTTGAAGAAGTACAGCACCGACACCATAATCAGAAGCATCTGTTTCAATGCGGTAGGGCTTGGACATATCAGGTAACTGTAATACAGGAGCAGAGGTTAATAATTTTTTTATATGATCAAAACTATATTGACATTGTTCGGTCCATATTATAGGTCTTTTCTTGGGTCCTACACCTCTTGTCAAGTCTGTTAATGGAGAGGCTATGGTTGCAAAGTTGGGCATGAATCTTCTATAATACTGGGCTAAACCTAAAAACGAACGAACTTCTTGTACATTAGTTAGCTTGGGCCATTTCTGTATGGCTTGAACCTTATCCGGAGCAGGTAGAATACCATTGGCGGTAACCTTATAACCGACGAACACCAGCTCCTTCTTTCCGAACTCACACTTCTTCATATTAGCAATAAGCTTGGCCTTCTTCAATCGGTCTAGAATATGTCGCACATGTTGTCTGTGTTCTTGTTCGGTCTTACTGAAAATAAGAATGTCATCAAGGTATACCAAAGCAAACTTGTCAAGACAATCACCTAATACACTGTTCATTAAACTTTGGAACGTTGGTGGGGCATTAGTCAGACCAAAGGGCAGTACAAGAAATTCAAATTGTCCATAGCGAGTATTAAAGGCAGTCTTGGGAATGTCATTAGGGTGAATACGGACTTGATGATAACCTGATTTGAGATCTAGACTAGTAAAGAAGGAAGATCCATGGAGACGATCAAGGCATTCATCAATTCTGGGTAAAGGATGTTTGTTACGGATGGTTACTTTATTCAGGGCTCTGTAGTCAATGCACATTCTCATAGATCCATCTTTCTTACGGACAAATAGGACTGGTGCACCCCATGGTGAGGCACTAGGACGGATTAGACCAAGCGAGGATAGTTCTTTCAACTGTCTTTGAAGTTCATCAAGCTCTGCAGGACTCATCTTGAACGGAGAACGACTAATAGGGGTAGCATCACCAGTCTGTATCACATGTTGAACATCACGGTTGGGCGGTAGACCAGGCAATTCATCTTTAAATACTTCGGGATACTCTTTAACCAACTTGATCCAGTATTGGTTGCTTGATGAGGTATCGTTGATGTCTAAAGTATTTAAAGAGAATGCATTAGTAGGGTTCTGATCATGGGTAATGTTACAATTGTTACTAAGAAAGTTGGATTTGATACATAGCGCAAAAGTCTGGGTACCGGGTTTCTTGAGAAGGCGGTTTAACTGTTTATGGGATACAAGATAGTTCAAATTCATTGTGGATACAGGGCTACGGTAGTTATTGATAGGAGCAAGGCTTATAGTACGGTGGTCTTGTGTGAGAGTCCAGGTGTCAGTTTGCCAATTAGGGATAGCATGAGAAGTCTGCAGCCAAGAACGTCCTAGTATTAAATCAAACTTGGAAGGAAAGACATAAGCAGAAATTATATCTTTGTATCCTTCAAGGTTAATGTTCATGTCAACTTTATATTTAATAGATGTAATGTCACCACTGGCA